GAAACCGAAATTCAGCTGTATACAATCAGCTTTCTTTGTGAAGTTCAGTTTTTTATTTTAGTCGTTTGCTTCCGTGAAATTATGTGACATTCAGTGGTAGTTTAGGATGTTGGTGTATCATCTTCAAGAAACAACGATCCAAAGGAAAGCAATAATTCAAAGACGATGAAAACAACTCGTAGATCGGTTAGTGAACAATTTAGTTTTTGGATTTTTCTCATCTACAAACTCCTTGTGAAATTTTATCACGATGAATACTTCCATTATTCACAATTGTTTGATATATGTGACTTTAATGTGTGACTGACTTTTCAGTGGACTGTTGGAAGCAGGTGTTTGGCTCCGTTTTATGAAGACAATTTGTGGTATCCGGCCGAAATTCGTCAGATAAATGAAGAGCGAAACGAATGCGAGGTATTGTATGATGGCTATGGTAATACAGATTGGGTGGACACGAATGATCTTGCCAGGTATTGTTTTGAATTTTCATCCTTTGAGTGCATAATGAGATTGGATTCACTCTAGAAATCAGTCTCCTGAGAGATAATAATGTGGCTTTGGTAAATTCTCTCAAAATTTCAGAATAGATGATGCTAGCGAAATGAATTCCGATACATCGGCGGCCGAGAGTGTGTCGCATCGTGAAGAGAATGTTTTAGTGAACGGTGGAGAATGCTCTAAATCGGCGAAACATCCAAATGCTGAAATATTCAAACGGGTAAGGTTTTATTTTCATGATTATGTTTAAAAATCTTTAAGCAATTTCAAGTGACAATGCACATAACAAGTAGTTAACAATATTTATGCTTGTTTTGTTTTTGTTCACTTAGCAATTCCTCAACAGTTCATTATAACCGTAAGCGTCTCAGTTTCGAGCAAGTATCATTTTCAATATGGATTATTTTTTAGTTATTTTCTCTGAAAGCATCAATTGATAGTGTTTGGTTGTGCAAACTGTTAGGCATGTTTGACTATTGAATGCATTCGTTGTTGTGTGACATCTGGAAGAGTGATATTGATGTGATAAAAGGATGTATATAAATGGTGTTTGAGAGTTAAGTGATCCTGTTTAAGGCATCTCGAATGCTTCCGTCAATAGCGCCTCCCGCACCACCGGCATTCTTAAATCAAATGAATAGAATGGGCGATGATCCTGAAAATACGGAAACAAATATGTTGATATCGTGGTATATGTGTGGTTATCACACTGGCTATCATCAGGTCTCAGTTTCATTATTTATATTTTTTATTTAAGTTCATTTCCCATCACTTCTGTGTGTCAAAATTCACAAGTTATTGTTACATTATAATTTTTGACTTGTTGAAAATATAATGCGGATGGAATGAGACTAACTGACGGTTGTGGTTCGTTTGAGTTGCAAGGATCTGAACTGGTGTCTGAAATGAGCAATCTTCTGATTGGAATAAGGAAGAGTTCTTGTTTTGCATCGCAAACTTTTATTTGGATTATTCTGCTGAGATCTTATGCAATCCATTTTTTCGATCGTTGTGTAATTTTTTATTATTGAAGGCTCTCAAGGATATGGCACAAGGATCGTCCAAAAAATAACATTTCGCAGATGAATATGATGTGATTCATTGTCATGTGAGTGATGATTGTTATGGTCGATATTACCAATTTTTAATATCATTTTGACTCGATAAATGGATTGAAAGCACTATTCTTTGGTCAACTAACAGGAAAAATAATTTCAAGATTCAATTGCATCACTGAAAATAATAATACTCGTTTAATGAACTTGGATTTCTAAGAAATTCTGGAATGTCAGTGTAGTTATTAATAAAGGAGAGTATACAATATTTCATTGCCGTTGGCATTTCGTAGAAGAGGGATTACTTATTCTAACTGAATACGAGTGCATGGTATAATATATTGCTAACAATGAAGAAGAAGTGTGCAGTCTATATATGGAACATAACTGATGGAACTGAATTGTGTAAAAATATTCATATTTTCAGTCGAATATGGCAAGTGCAATGCTTCTGTTCAATTTTTCTGTTGTGATTTTGTTTTGGGATATAATTTTTACATTTCCTCATGAGGATTTGTAAATATCGTAACTGGTGGAATGTCATTATCCTATATGCTTGTCAACACTGCGACGGTTTTGGGAGGTTTTAGCGATTAATTATTCATAAATGTGGACTTGGGCAGATTTTTAGACGAAGCGTATGGCTTGAAGAGACAAGTTGCATCTTTCGAGAAACCAAAAGTGTTGTTTCAATCGCATTTATCAATGAACAACTGCGAGTTTTGTGAAGATTTCATAGGATTGTCTTGATCTAATTGTAAGTACTTTTGGTTTTAAGAGTTCATCTTGTTTAAGTGACTGTTTGTGATTTTCTGGTGGTGGTAGGTGCAGTCGGGTTTATGGAAAATCTGTCGAACACCCATAGCAATGAAATTGAATGTTACAAATTCATTAGTTTTGATTTATTTTGTTCATTTTGCTTCTTGTTGTTGATGTTTGATCGCACATCTCGGAATTTTATTTACTTCTGTTCGAAACAAGTAAACAAAATTCTTTAGTATTACGCCTCATTTCCTGCTATCTCAAGCTGTCTCTTCTCTCTCGCTGTTTTTATCCGCTTCTCTCTTTGTTTTTCTTCTCCGTATAACAAGCAAACAAAAATAAACATGAACGTGATTGATTCAATGCATTCAGAATGAAATTTCCGTTCGGTTGAGAAATAGCACTGACTAAGGGATTGAAATTTGTGATGAAATAGTTATCATGTCGAACTCAGAGGAACGAAACATGTCGAAATATGTCGGATCGGCGAAGAATCCTCAGGAAAGTTAGCAACAATAGATCGAGTCATGCGACAGTCTGAAAAATAGCATGATACAGCTAATTTCAGCTCGTTGAATGAGCGAANTATGCTTAACCTCAAATGCATTTCAATTCAATATCGCTTCTCGTTCTCTTCGTTTCCACAACTGCTTTACTGGCAGCTCCACCTCTCTCACTGTCAGCTTCGCATCCTTCGGCGATGAATTCGACTGCATTTGCGGCTGGTCTATTCGAATGAACATCTCGTCTAGTTCTGTTCATATTCGTCGTATGCAAGTTGTTTTGCAATGAATGCCATGTATGTGATACGAATGTGTTGTTTGCTTGTATGTGTATATGAATTTGCATGGTTGCATGTGTCTGGATTTAGTTATGTGTCTGTTTGGATGTAAAGCATGACAGAGCAATGACACTCGTATAAGACTATAACTGACTAGAGGCAATGCGATGAAGCACATTCCTTCCCAGTTGCTTTCAATTCATTTGATGCATTTATTTATTTGCCCCTGATGATCAACTGATATAGTATTGTTGGCAATTTTTATTATAGATAGTTTAGCTGAAAGGCTCGAGTTTTGGCATTGGTTGGGCTAACGTTCACCCATATGTTCTGGTTCGGATTTATGCATGAGCTCATTGATGGCTAAATAATATCTCTTATACGCGCTAGATCCACATATGATATGCTCGCTCGTATTAATTCAATTTTGATCACCATCACCACTTCATTTGTTTTTGTTGTTTATTTCGTGCGCTTGTTGTTTTGTTTTAAACTGAATTGACGGATGAATGAATGAGTCGTAGTGTAAAGAGAGCAACGATTCCGTTGGTTGCTCTGTTAACGTTTTTCATCATCATCTGTTCGGTCAATTTCCAACAGAACAGAAAGCAATCAGTTGGAGAATTCCTTTGGATTGTGTGTGTTTTGCTTTTTGTTTCACAAATTTGCATTTTTAGCGGAAAAAGTTTACGCTATGTCGTGCAGTTTTCATTGATCTTCGTATTGTGCGCTTGCACTTGATCGATAGGATGCCACTTCTTCTTGCAAACGCTGTATATTTGAAAGAGTAAGGATAGAAATTATTGTTAGATGGGAGATGTAATGAGATATTCATTGGAATGGGTTGACGGTACTAGTCGCGAAATGAACAACAAAC